TAATATAATAATAATTCCCACCTTCCTATCCAGCCAGACGGTGAAGGTCTCCCCGGGGCAGTATATAATACAGTATATAATATAATAATATAATAATTCCCACCTTCCTATCCAGCCGGACGGTGTAGGTCTCCCCGGGGCAGTATATAATACAGTATATAATATAATAATATAATAATAATTCCAACCTTCCTATCCAGCCGGACGGTGTAGGTCTCCCCGGGGCAGTATATAATACAGCATATAATATAATAATAATTCCCACCTTCCTATCCAGCCGGACGGCGTAGGTCTCCCCGGCAGTATATAATATAATAATATAATAATAATTCCCACCTTCCTATCCAGCCGGTGTAGGTCTCCCCGGGGCAGTATATAATACAGTATATAATAATAATTCCCACCTTCCTATCCAGCCGGACGGTGTAGGTCTCCCCGGGGCAGTATATAATACAGTATATAATATAATAATATAATAATAATTCCCACCTTCCTATCCAGCCGGACGGTGTAGGTCTCCCCGGGGCAGTATATAATACGGTATATAATATAATAATAATTCCCACCTTCCTATCCAGCCGGACGGTGAAGGTCTCCCCGGGGCAGTATATAATACAGTATATAATATAATAATATGATAATAATTCCCACCTTCCTATCCAGCCGGACGGTGAAGGTCTCCCCGGGGCAGTATATAATACAGTATATAATATAAAAATAATTCCCACCTTCCTATCCAGCCGGACGGTAGGTCTCCCCGGGACAGTATATAATACAGTATATAATATAATAATAATTCCCACCTTCCTATCCAGCCGGACGGTGTAGGTCTCCCGGGGCAGTATATAATACAGTATATAATATAATAATAATTCCCACCTTCCTATCCAGCCGGACGGTGTAGGTCTCCCCGGGGCAGTATATAATACAGTATATAATATAATAATAATTCCCACCTTCCTATCCAGCCGGACGGTGTAGGGCTCCTCGGGGCAGTATATAATACAGTATATAATATAATAATATAATAATAATTCCCACCTTCCTATCCAGCCGGACGGTGAAGGTCTCCCAGGGGCAGTATATAATACAGTATATAATATAATAATATAATAATAATTCCCACCTTCCTATCCAGCCGGACGGTGTAGGTCTCCCCGGGGCAGTATATAATACAGTAGATAATATAATAATAATTCCCACCTTCCTATCCAGCCGGACGGTGAAGGTCTCCCCGGGGCAGTATATAATACAGTATATAATATAATAATAATTCCCACCTTCATATCCAGCCGGACGGTGTAGGTCTCCCCGGGGCAGTATATAATACAGTATATAATATAATATAATAATATAATAATTCCCACCTTCCTATCCAGCCGGACGGTGTAGGTCTCCCCGGGGCAGTATATAATACAGTATATAATATAATAATAATTCCCACCTTCCTATCCAGCCGGACGGTGTAGGGCTCCTCGGGGCAGTATATAATACAGTATATAATATAAAAATAATTCCCACCTTCCTATCCAGCCGGACGGTGTAGGTCTCCCCGGGGCAGTATATAATACAGTATATAATATAATAATAATTCCCACCTTCCTATCCAGCCGGACGGTGTAGGTCTCCCCGGGACAGTATATAATACAGTATATAATATAATAATAATTCCCACCTTCCTATCCAGCCTGACGGTGAAGGTCTCCCCGGGGCAGTATATAATACAGTATATAATATAATAATTCCCACCTTCCTATCCAGCCGGACGGTGTAGGTCTCCCCGGGGCAGTATATAATACAGTATATAATATAATAATAATTCCCACCTTCCTATCCAGCCGGACGGTGTAGGGCTCCTCGGGGCAGTATATAATACAGTATATAATATAATAATATAATAATAATTCCCACCTTCCTATCCAGCCGGACGGTGAAGGTCTCCCAGGGGCAGTATATAATACAGTATATAATATAATAATATAATAATAATTCCCACCTTCCTATCCAGCCGGACGGTGTAGGTCTCCCCGGGGCAGTATATAATATAATAATAATTCCCACCTTCCTATCCAGCCGGACGGTGAAGGTCTCCCCGGGGCAGTATATAATACAGTATATAATATAATAATATAATAATAATTCTCACCTTCCTATCCAGCCGGACGGTGTAGGTCTCCCCGGGGCAGTATATAATACAGTATATAATATAATAATATAATAATAATTCCCACCTTCCTATCCAGCCGGACGGTGTAGGTCTCCCGGGGGCAGTATATAATACAGTATATAATATAATAATAATTCCCACCTTCCTATCCAGCCGGACGGTGAAGGTCTCCCCGGGGCAGTATATAATACAGTATATAATATAATAATATAATAATAATTCCCACCTTCCTATCCAGCCGGACGGTGTAGGTCTCCCCGGGGCATTATATAATACAGTATATAATATAATAATAATTCCCACCTTCCTATCCAGCCGGACGGTGTAGGTCTCCCGGGGCAGTATATAATACAGTATATAATATAATAATAATTCCCACCTTCCTATCCAGCCGGACGGTGTAGGTCTCCCCGGGGCAGTATATAATACAGTATATAATATAATAATAATTCCCACCTCCCTATCCAGCCGGACGGTGTAGGTCTCCCCGGGGCAGTATATAATACAGTATATAATATAATAATAATTCCCACCTTCCTATCCAGCCGGACGGTGTAGGTCTCCCCGGGGCAGTATATAATACAATAATAATTCCCACCTTCCTATCCAGCCGGACGGTGAAGGTCTCCCCGGGGCAGTATATAATACAGTATATAATATAATAATAATTCCCACCTTCCTATCCAGCCGGACGGTGTAGGGCTCCCGGGGCAGTATATAATACAGTATATAATATAATAATAATTCCCACCTTCCTATCCAGCCGGACGGTGTAGGTCTCCCCGGGGCAGTATATAATACAGTATATAATCTAATAATAA